CAAAAAAAAAAAAAAAAAAAAAAAAAAAAAAAAAAACAAAAAAAAAAAAAAAAAAAAAAAAGGGTTAGCTGATGATTTTTCAGATACGTTGTCATTAAAGAATAGAAGACATACACACACAAGCGAAATGATTACTCTAGGAATTTACAGAAGGGCGTTTGCCAGAAGCATACCAAAGGTCAGACTCAACTCCACATCAACGTCTGCAAATGGATTGTCGTGGGTTGATTACTTTAAATTAAAGAAGCAAAATAATAGAATCAATGCCGTTAGTGGAATTTTCACAGGTTTGGGTGGAGCCATGTTGACGCTTACATATTTGGGAAACATTGAAATTGATCTTGAAAAGCCCATGTTTGGCTTTGATCCACTTATGGTTATGGGGGGTGGCGTCATTGCTGGTGGACTTCTTGGATACTTGTTGGGTCCAGTGGTGGGGCAAGTTGTGTTTAAGACCTTGAACAGATCAAAATTGGCAGCGTTTGATGTGAGAAATAGTCAATTCTTGTCGAAGTTGAAAGTAAAGAGGCCAGATCCATCAAGTCAAAGTTTTTCAAACCCAATACCCGACTATTATGGAGAAAGGATTTATTCGTTGAAGGATTACAGACAATGGTTGAGAGACTGCAATGCTTTTAGAAGGAAAGCCAAGGAGTTTATTTGATTGATGTGTTGTTGTATATAGATGAGGAGATGGACAAAACATGGGCACTGAAGAAGATTGTTGAGACAAAGTATATAAAAAAATTGCAAACATTCCATGCACATAAAAGAAACTGACGATTGATATTGTGTAGTGGTTGAAAAGGGGAGGGCATGTTAAAAAAGTAATAGTATATGACGTATTGCAAAAGGTGGTCCTTTCTCTATTACGTGAACTTACATAAACAAGGGAAGTGGGCAACTCCATATATCCAACAGAAACTATTTAGGTACAATATACAACTAGTAAACCGGTCACTTTCATGCGGACATTTCAGCACCACCAAAATGGATACAGATTCAAATTTGAATCGTTTTGCAAACTTATTTTTTTTGCATCAATCTCGGTCAAACTAAATACCCTCGGAAAAGGGCAACTGAGTAAGCTCCTTGCAGCAGACAGCTCAAGCTCAGGTTACACAAATTTTGCGTGATTGATAGGTTGCCAGTGTGATTCACATTCCATTTGTGCCATTGATCTTGATGGAAAGTACATGTCATCCCTCTTAGAGTCCAAGAGAAGGGCCATCTAGTGACAGCTCCTTCAAACTCCGAGTAGGCATACCCGGTGGTTACGGAGTTTCGATTTAGAATTTATTAAATGGAATTTTTTTTGTTTGTTTTTTTTTCTTTGCTCCGACCCATTTTTTAGTTCCGGCACGCCCTCTCCTCGGCGGGATAGTGATAGCATGGAATTCTTGAAGTACATGACCTCCTTTTATGTAATGTTTCATATGTAGCACAGTGTTGTGTACATGTGAAGACTAAGTAAGTAGTAAAGGGAAGGATGGAGATAGAGCTCGGAGTTGTTAGGAGATTGTGTATATGTATGAGAGAGAAATCCCGGAGTATGTCGTATTTGCGTGACTTCTCTCGGCCATATAATAAAATCTCCTCTCTCTCTTTGTTTGTTGTTCTCCACTGAAATTATTGTGTGAATTGTCTCATTAATTAATTATTTTATTTTATTTTATTTTATTTTATTTCCAACTAAAGTGGCAGCAGCAGCTGAAGCAATAGAGAGAGAGAAAGAGAGAGAGGAAAAGAAAAAAAAAAAAATTATACCCCCATTGGACCAAAAACTTTTGATCAATACTTTACTTTACTTTACTTTACTTCTTTTCTTTCTGTCTTGATTCCGAAATCATCTCTACAACAGGAGAGTAACATTAGACTATACGAAGGAAGAAGAAGAAAAAGAAGGTGCTATTGCCAAACCCATTTAGTAATTACTACTACTAATACTACTACTATTTGGAACAAAATATTCTTTCATCTTAATATCGAGACAGTCACTGCAAATCATGCTTAGAGCTTTCAAACGTGCTATTCCACCACGTGCACAAATACTCAGGAGCAACGTTCCATCATTGAGGTGTAACTTTGTCAGAATCCAATCGAGATGTTTTGCTACAGCAACAGACACCTTTTTGCAAGGTAACGATGCCAACTATGTTGATGAAATGTACCAACAATGGAGACAGGATCCTGCAAGTGTACATTCATCCTGGAATGCCTACTTCACCAACATTGAGAAGGATGGCGTATCGCCTTCAAAGGCTTTCCAAGCTCCACCCACTTTGGTTCCAACTGTTTCTGGTGGCACTGCTGGGTTTTACCCACAACAATCAAATGTCAACGAAGATGTCGTTACTCACTTGAAAGTCCAATTGTTGGTTAGAGCTTACCAAGTCAGAGGTCACCAAAAGGCAAAGATTGACCCATTGGGAATCACCTTTGGCTCAAACGCTGACGTTCCAAAAGAATTGACTTTAGACTATTACCAATTTAGCGAAAAGGACTTGGACAAGGAAATCACATTGGGACCCGGTATTTTACCAAGATTTGCCACTCAAGGTAAGAAATCCATGACTTTGAGAGAAATCATCAAGACTTGTGAGGAGTTGTATTGTTCATCTTATGGTGTTGAATATGTTCACATTCCTTCCAAAGAGCAATGTGACTGGTTGAGAGAAAGAATTGAGATTCCACAACCATTCAAGTACTCCCAAGATCAAAAGAGACAAATTTTGGATCGTTTGATTTGGGCCACTTCTTTTGAAACTTTTTTGTCAACCAAGTTTCCAAATGATAAGAGATTTGGTTTGGAAGGTGCTGAGTCTGTTGTTCCTGCCATGAAGGCTATGATTGATACTTCTGTTGAAGAAGGTATTGAAGATGTTGTTATTGGTATGCCACATAGAGGTAGATTGAACGTGTTGTCTAACGTTGTTCGTAAGCCAAATGAGTCTATCTTTTCTGAATTTACTGGATCAAGAGAATTTGACGAAGGTTCTGGTGATGTCAAGTACCATTTGGGTATGAACTACAAGAGACCAACCACTTCTGGTAAACATGTCAACTTGTCATTGGTTGCTAACCCATCACACTTGGAAGCTGAAGATGGTGTTGTTCTTGGTAAGACACGTGCCATCCAACAATACAAGAATGATGTTGGTGAATTCAAAAAGGCAATGTCAATCTTGTTGCATGGTGATGCTGCTTTTGCAGCTCAGGGTGTTGTTTACGAAACAATGGGTTTCGCCAACTTGCCTGCTTACTCAACTGGTGGTACTATTCATATTATTGTCAATAATCAAATCGGTTTCACTACTGACCCAAGATTTGCTAGATCAACTTTGTATCCATCTGATATTGCCAAGAGTATCAATGCACCAATTTTCCACGTAAATGCTGATGATGTGGAAGCATGTACTTTTGTTTTCAACTTGGCAGCTGAATGGAGAGCCAAGTACCACACTGACTGTATTATTGACCTTGTTGGTTACAGAAAGCACGGTCACAATGAAACTGATCAACCATCATTCACCCAACCAATCATGTACCAAGAAATTGCCAAGAAGAAGTCTGTCATTGACATTTACACCAATCAATTGATTGAAGAGGGTACTTTTACCAGAGAAGACATTGACGAACACAAGAAATGGGTTTGGAACTTGTTGGAAGAATCGTTTTCAAAGGCAAAGGATTATCAACCAACTTCTAGAGAATGGTTAACTACCCCATGGGAAGATTTCAAATCACCAAAAGAGTTGGCCACCGAAGTATTGCCTCATTTCCCAACCGGTGTTGATGAAGATACCTTGAAAAAGATTGGTGTTGCCATTTCCGAAGCTCCAGAAGGTTTTGAAATACATAGAAACTTGAAGCGTATTTTGAACCAAAGGAAAAAGGCTGTTGAAACAGGTGAAGGAATTGACTACTCCACTGGTGAAGCATTGGCATATGGTTCATTGGCTTTGGAAGGATATCATGTTAGAGTTTCTGGTCAAGATGTTGAGAGAGGTACTTTTTCACAAAGACACGCTGTTTTGCATGATCAAAAATCAGAAAAGACTTGGACTCCATTGGCCAACTTGAGTGAAGATCAAGGTGTGTTTAGCATATCCAACTCCTCATTGTCCGAGTATGGTGTTTTGGGTTTTGAATATGGTTATTCATTGACCTCACCTGATGCATTGGTTGAATGGGAAGCCCAATTTGGTGATTTTGCCAACACTGCACAAGTCATCATTGATCAATTTGTGTCTGGTGCCGAATCGAAATGGATGCAAAGATCTGGTGTTGTTTTGTCATTGCCTCATGGTTATGATGGACAAGGTCCAGAGCATTCATCGGGTAGAATTGAAAGATACTTGCAATTGTGTAACGAGGATCCTCGTTATTTCCCATCTCCAGAGAAATTGGAGCGTCAACATCAAGACTGTAATATGCAAGTTGCGTACCCAACTACTCCAGCCAACATTTTCCACTTGTTGCGTCGTCAAATGCACAGGCAATTTAGAAAACCATTGATTTTGTTTTTTTCCAAATCATTGTTGCGTCATCCATTGGCGAGATCCAACTTGTCTGATTTCACCGGTGACTCCCAATTCCAATGGATTATTCAGGATGTATTGGGCGACAAGTCTGAAGTCAAGAGACTTGTCTTGTGCACTGGTCAAATCCATGCTGCTATGCACAAGAGAAGAGAACAAACCAAGGACAACTCTACTGCTTTCATCAAGATTGAACAATTGAACCCATTCCCATTTGCTCAATTGCGTGATGCATTAAATGAGTATCCAAACATTGAAGATTTGGTATGGGCACAAGAAGAACCATTGAATATGGGAGCTTGGTCATTTGTGGAGCCAAGAGTTGATGTCGTACTTGAAAAGACCGACAAGCATGCTGGTTTGAAGTTGAGGTATGCTGGTAGAGACCCAAGTGCCTCTATTGCCGCTGGTACTAAGGCTAAGCACTTGGCTGAAGAAGAGGAGGTGTTGAATGAAGTATTCCAACACTAAGAGAAACAGCGAAGCAAGTTTGCAGCCGAAAGGCACGATGCACAACGGTGATCTATCAATGAATGATAGAAGGAGGGAGGGGGAGGGGGAGGGGGAGAGCAATGTGATTGTTACTGAGAGGAAGGAGTGGTGTACGACAGAGAAGAGATGATGCTATAGACTGAAATAAACTTAAATTTAGAGCCAAAAGAAAAACGAAGCAAGAATTATTTAGTTGTATAGTTTTAAAGTACAGTTATTATTTTAAAGTAAATTATGGAGATTGTAGAATTGAACTAAGAAGAAACGAGCTACGCTTGCAAAATGTAATTTGATTCCCCACTTTTATTTTTATAAACTCTGCATATATGTATTTTGCGTTTCTCTTTCCCTCTCTCTTTCCCTCTCCGGGTATTTCTTTTTCCACCAAGCCGCCAGACATTTCATAAGCCCCAAGATGCAAATGCAAACCTAACAAAGAACCAATATGCAAGCAGACGGGAGGGACAAATGCAAACAAAGAAGCATATGCAGGCGGTCCCTTTGTTTACAATGTTTTGGTTGTAGTTAGTGATGGAGTAACGGACCGATGATATAAGTCGACAGCAGTAGTTTTTACTAGTTGGTGAACAGTGCAATGGCGCTTAATACAACAGCATCATCCCATGCACGGGGATAATACCTTGTGAAACTGTACCCCACTACCCCGTCGTATGTACATTTCATTTGTGCTGTACACTGGTTTTCTTTTGCCAAAACTTTTCTCGCAGTTGTTATTCTCCACTGCAGGTTCCTCCCTTCCCCCCACTTGCTTCAAATATGCAGACTTACGCCCCGTTGTATACCATCTTGTGATGTTGTGTTGTGCTGCATGATCTCTTTTATTCTTTATTCTTTATTCTTTTTTCTTTCATGGTACTCGGAAAATGGTTTACCCGCAGGAACCATCTTTTACTTTTTTTTTTTTTATTTTCTCCACTCAATGTTTAATTCTTCTGAATACCGTCGGGGTCGCAGAGAGAGAAAAATGTCAGCACAGCATGTAGAAAGTAGTAGAGGGACGCATGCCAGGTATTGTATCCTTGCTGGGTTCTCTTTTGCTGCGTGATGTTATCTAAAAGAAACACTACTTGGTTTGTAGTGGCGTTTTACGGTCCGATATTTTGGAAGAATCGGTCTCGATTTTCGGTAACACTTTTTGTGTGATTGTGAAACTTTCTCTCTCTATTCTCTTTCGGAGTTCTTTTATTTATTTTTTACACTCCACACATCTTTCCATTAAATGGCAATTCATGAACTGAACTTAACGAGATACCTGCCACACACGTTGCTGTAGATAGGAGTGCAAAACAAACTGACATGGGTATAGAGCAACGGTGTAGAGTACGATTACGATAGAACCCCTCATTATATAGTAGGAGAAATTTTATTTCGTCAACTGATTCAATCCATTAACCCCTATTTCCATTTATAATAAATCCGATACACAATCAAGCCAGTGTATTGTAACCCGTCAAAATTCTCTTGATTAAATAGATTTATCCAGTCAAGCTGGTATATATATATATATGCTTACATTTGCAGAACTCTTTTAGTGCTTGTACATTTTTGCTTTGCAGTTCGAATTTTTGCAGCCTATATCTATATAATCACAGAATCGTCAACCAATACCCAAATATCACATAAGAACAGCCATGACAGTCCAAGCACAACCCACATACAGCTTCCAAAAAGCACCTATTCAACTTACTTTCGTCATTGTCGGAGCAGGTCTCGGTGGAGTCGCTGCCAGTATCTGTTTGAAATTGTCTGGTCACAATGTCATCTTATTAGAAGCGGCTACCGAATTAGGTGAAGTCGGAGCCGGTATTCAAATTCCACCACCATCAACAAAGATCTTGAAAGCTATTGGTGTATTGGATGCAATTGAAAAAGTATCCATCCATCCTCACGATATCTTGATCAAGAGGTACAAGGGTGAACTTTTATCTACTCAGAACTTGGTGCCTTATGTTCTGGAAAAATACGATGGGTTGTACTTGCACATCCACAGAGCAGATTATCACAAAGCCTTGGTCAACAGAGCTGAGGAGTTGGGTGTTCAAATTCACACCAATTCTAGAGTGGTTGATGTTGATTTTGAAAACACAATCGTCACCACGTTGAGTGGGGAAACATACACTGGTGATGTTATTGTTGGATACGATGGAGTCAGGTCACACACAAGAGCATTGTTGACTGGCGATTCCACCGGTGCTTATGATACCGGAGATTTGGCTTACCGTGCACTCATCAATGTTGATGATATGAAGAAAGTCCCCGGTTTGGAGAAATTTTACGCCAACCCCAACATCAACTTCTGGTGGGGGCCAACCATGCATATCGTCATGTACTTTTTGCAACAAGGTCAAGTATGCAACGTTGTTGCCTTGTGCCCCGATACTTTACCCCAGGGTGTTTTAAGACAAGAGGCATCACACGATGAGTTATTAGACTTGGTTAAAGATTGGGACGAGGATTTAACCACCGTCTTCAAATTAATTACATCCATCAGTAAATGGCGTTTACAAGATTCACGTGAATTGAAAACTTGGGTCAACCACAAAACTGGCAATTTCATAATCTTGGGTGATGCATCTCATTCAACATTGCCCTATTTGGCAAGTGGCGCATCTCAAGCAGTTGAAGACGCAGCCGTACTTGCTGGCTTATTCTCCAAGATTGAACTGCATGATCAAATCCCGCAAATTTTAACCATGACTGAAAGCTTGCGCAAATGGAGAAGCTCTCAAGTGGTTAGAGGCTCGCATCAATGCCAGGATATTTACCACTTGCCAGATGGTGAGTTGCAAGAGATTAGAGACTCGTACTTGTATGATAAGACTCCGGAGTTGGGATGTCCTAACCGTTTTGCTGATCCAGTTTTCCAAGATTTCCTATGGGGATATAATGCGTTTGAGGAAGTTGAAAGAGCTTGGAAGGAGTTTAAAGCTGGTGGTAATCCAAGTTATACTTATCCAAATTTGTACAAGGAAAAGAGTAGTGGGGAATCATCAGCTGAAGTAGAAAAAGCGTCAACCGAGACAGCAGCAGCTAGTCTTGTTGCTGGAAACCACGCATCTGCTCCTTTGAGTGCAACAGGTTGAATAGTTGGTGGTGATACTAGTGTTTGCATTTATTGCATGTATTTTGTTAACGATATGTGATGTTCTAAAGTAACCTTTTCTTAAATCTTTTATCTGGTTCTGTTGCATGCTCTACACCTTTCATCTTCTAGATAAAGACTCGTTCAAAATAAAATAGAAAGTATATCTAAATAACAATAATAAAAAAGAGAGAGCCGAGTCCTCCCCAACATTCTCTACTCCTTAGAGCAATCTCTTCCAAATAAAGCAACCTTCATCCAATCCAAAACAACAAGACATTGGTTCTTCACTGAAAGACACATGTAGATATAAGCAGACCTCCAAAACAAAAAGGTAAAGTTACCACCACTAGTGATATTTGACCAATCACCCCACACCAAATCGGCAACTGCCTTTTCAGAACCAATATACGCTAATGAACCTTGGTAATTGTATTGGAATTTGGGTAAATTCTTTTCAGCCCTAGCCAATTTCTTGCTCAACAGCTCGACACTTTGCTTGGGAGTTGGATGTTGGATTTGGTACTGGAGACTTTCAACTTGATGCAACTTCTCAAAATACTTGGCCAAGTATTCACCTTCTTGGAATGCAACTTGTGCTGTGGGTGGGTACTTGGTAAATGTACAATCTCCCAAGGCAAAGATGTTTGAAGTACCATCAACTCTCAAATAGTCATCAATCAACAATCCACGCTTGGCATTCTTTTGCTCGTCGATTTTCGACATCAAATCACGAGTGAAGCCTCTAGCAGCATTTCCAGTAGCCCAAATCAACATACCGTATGGAATCTCAATAGTCTTTGTTGACCCATCAGGTTGTTTTTGCGAGGCAACTAGTTCCTTGTCTCCAACCTTCTTAATCATGGTGTTTGTCATCAAGTTGATATTGGTGTCTTTAAACACCTCCTTGGTGTACTCAATCAACTTTTTGTTAAAGGTGTTTAAAACATTTGGCAAGGCTTCAACTAGGGTGACTTTTAATTCACCTTCTAACTCAGGAACCCATTTGTGCAAATCTTGATCAATGTAGTCTTGGATTTCACCAGCAGCCTCAACACCGGTTGGACCACCTCCACAAACGACAACATGTAACAATCTTTTACGTTCAGGGTCATTCTTTGGCAAGATGTTAGCAGCTTCAATGACATCCATCAACCTTCTTCTAATAGTTGACGCATCACTAACCTCCTTCAAGAATGTAGAATGTTCAGCAACTCCAGGAATACCAAATGTGGAAGGTTGAGCACCAACACCAACAACCAAATAATCATAATTCAAAGTGGTTGAGATTTCCTCAACTCCAGTGTACTCAGACACAGTGGATTTGGTTGATGAAGTATCTTTACCGGAATGTCCAGAGTGAACGGTTGTACTTTGCTTTATAACAAGTTGATTCTTGGCAGGATCAATTGAAGTAGCTTCAGCTTCCAAGTAGACAACTTCACCAGGACATCTTCTAGTGATGGACCTAACTGGTTCAATAATGGATCTCAATTCAACAGTACCGGTGGGGACACTAGGCAACAAGGGAGTAAACAAAAAGTAGTTTCTTGGTGAAACAATAACGACATTGTATAAAGTGGTGTCCAAGTTTTTCAACAATGGAATTGATCCCCATCCAGATCCCAAGATGACCAAAGTCTTTTTCTTTTGGCCATTGGGGAAGAATGGTGTTTGTTTCTGTTGTTTAGCCGGCATGGATTCTTCATATATTTTGTACGCAACAACACTTGCACCACCCACAACACCAAGTGCAACTGCACCGAATGTGTATTTGAATAATTTGCCTAGAAATGAAGCTTGCAAGACCTCAACGTTATGTGGTGGAACTGAGGATGTAGTAGGGGGCTTTATGGTTGTTGCTCTTGGAGGTTTGGCCTTGTTCAAAGGTCCCAATGAGGTGGAAAAGAACCTCTTATTAGCGATCCTTTTAAACATGGTGAATTGTGCAAAAACACTGCCAGATAGTACTGTAGTTTCAATCCTCTAATTGACCTTATCAAAGTTGTTGAAGAAGGTGATGCAATTGAGATGGGGATAGATATCAGTGGAATGGACACAGAACAAAATAAGTCTCAATTAAAAGGGGCACACGATCAATTGATTGGAAACTATAGTATGCTTGGTCGATAGAAGGAACAGTGATTGCCGAGTTGTGGTTATATATATATATATATATATGTATATACGTTACTCTTCTCTGGATCCAATGGTTGAGTTAAATTTTTGGAATTGAGAAGAGAGAAAGAGAAGATGAATGAATGAATGGACTTTTTGTGTTAAGCTTAATTAACTTTTCTCTTGATTGCGGACTTTTTACAGCCGAGATATTTTTTATTTCCATATAATTCAAGTACAAGTCCTTCTTCTACTTCCAAATGGTTCTATAGGACACACACACACACACAAATATATACATATATATCACAGCCAACAGATGAATGACATTACAGAAGTCAAAGGCGCAGTCCTCAAATTTGTTATTCCGCGCTAATTTTTCTGTCTCCGCAACGAAATACATTTCCTTGATTTAACCGCTAACTCTTTGCTCCTCCCACCGATTGAGTTTTTCCTTCCTGAAATGATACGTCTTTCTGCTTTGCCTAAACTGTTCTAATGTGTCGGCAAGTTGATTGTCTGTCATCTCACTTGAGTTGATATTCCCCACCAATTCTCTACTCTCTTCGTCATTTCGTTCAATCAACTTCCTAAACTTGTGCTTTAAAAGATCCTCGTTAAAAGCAGACGACATTGTTTGATACTGAATGGTTTCCAAATTCAAAAATTCATTGTATAGCTGTGTAAGTGTTCTCAATCGCTGATGGATTTGATTGCTTACTTCTTGATACTGTGGAATAAGAGTGTCACTAATTTCCGTCTGGAGTAGTGATGACACCTGACTCGCGCGCTCTTGTAGCTCGTTAAGCCTAACTTTGTAAGACTCAAGTTGATGTATGTAGCCTCGAATGAGTTTCTCATTGTTGACAAAGTCTTCAAAGCTTTGCTTTGGTAATGACTCTAGTTGCTTCGGTAGGGGAAACGGTTTGAGCTCGTCAATGGTGAACGCGGGTATAACCTGCGGTACTGTAGTCTGAGAAGCATCCGATGACATATGGATTGGTGTAAAGCGGGTGTCGTTTGAAAGCAACAGTGTTTGGTCGACTGTCAAAAGTAATCGCTCGCAAAAGTAAAATACAAACTCCTGCGCTACCGCTTATCTAAGGAAAAGAAAAAAACACCACAGCTGCAAATTGGCTCCTCACTGCAAACTGCAAAATATTGCATAATGCTAACCAAATACATCTATTAATATATCTATAAAACCAAAGAACTGAAAAAATTGTTGTAATGCAAATCAATCTCTCAACCACTACACGTCATACCATGCAACCGTCATCTCCATTCTTTCTCCTCAACCTTTCCAAATTCTTTTGGTCTCTCCTTTGTTGCTTTATTTCAAACTTCTTATTGAAAGATTCCCTCAACTTCTCACCGTACAAGTAACAAAAGATGGGGAATGGAACTCCTAACAAGATCCCAATAAACGCACACATTGTATTGCCCCATCCATACCCCAATGCGCTATACATTTTCCGAGCAAATAATGGGAATGCGAATCCAAACAAACTACGAAACAATGCAGCGGCTGCAACAGAACTAGCAGCAAAACGAACATTCATGTCGATAAGATAATTCTGAGTGGTTTGGAAAACACAAACCAACCCAAACGCAAAAATCGCTGACCCAATTCCTGGCATGATCCAATGTAACTCCTTTTGTGCTGACCAACCAAACCAGATTAATCCCACTGGTATAAACCCGGCACAGGCGATTAAGCAAGGCAACCTAAATTCGGGTTTGGGTACCCCACCATTGGCAATTGTCAAATTTTTGTAAACCCTGCCAACCATATATGTCCAAAACAATACTCCTAAAACAAACCCACAACCCATGGGGAGATACATCAATCCAGTAATACTCTTGCTAAACCCGTATTGCTTTTCGAAGATTTGTGGGAACGTAACAATCAAAAGGTACATGAACCCATATGTGAATGCCATGAATGAACCGAGTCCGATTACCATGGGGTGAGTGAAAAGAAGGTTCACTGGACGTACAACACACAACCACAACCTGCCAAATGTCGACTCTCCTTGGTTGGTTATTTCATAGATGGTGTGCAAGTTGGTATTGCCGGTGCTCTTTCTCATTTTTTGTGCTTTGCGTTTCAATAAAGTTGGCGCATAGGTCTCTTTAAAAAACAATGTAGCAGTAATGGCAACAGCTCCATTGAAAATACACAAGACGTAAAAACACCATCTCCACTGCATGTGATCAACAATAAACCCAGCAACCAACGGCGCAATTACGGGTCCCAATAAAGGAACCAATGCATAACCAGCCAATGCAGCATTTCTTGAGTTTGCATCAAACAAATCTGATATCACGCCAGCGCATACATTCAATGGCACACAACCAAACAATCCCCCAATAAACCGGCAAACCATAATTTGAGCGGTATTTTGTGAAAAAGCACAACCAAGATTGAAAAACAACGACATCCAACAAGAAACATCCAACACCAACTTCCTTCCAATATTGTCGTACTCAGATAATGGAGCAATGATCAATGGCCCAAATGCCCACGCCAAGATTTGTATAGAGACAACCATAGCTTGAACAACTTCCGAAGTTATGCCAAATGACACACTAATCTCGCTCATTGCTGGAGACAATATACTTGAAGACATGGGTGCAACTAGAGCATACAATGACACAAACGCCAAAAGAAAAATCTTTAACGAAGGTGACCAGTTTCTGGGATCTTCTGGATCATCACTCCCGTTCCACGTAATTAATTCCGGATCGATCTTGGTGAGATCCTCGCCGTGTTGAGCGATGGGTAGCACTTGATCTTCAATTACACCATCGTCCAACCCCTTTTCATTCAACCGCTCATTATCGTCCACTTCGTCAACGATTTTCTGTTCAATTTCACCCAAGACACTTTTCCTAGTGGCTATTCGTTGAAGCTCAATTTCATCGCTGTCCAAATCACCATAGATGTGATGCACAGAGTAGTTCTGATCCCCATCTCCTGCATTATTCTCAACTGAATGAGCACCCTGTAAACTTTTCCGTACTTGTTCAATAGACTTTTTTGAAATTGAAACAACACTTGCCGAACGTGACTTTTTTCCACCATTATGCGTACTTGGGGTGGGATGGTAAGCTGTTGGCTCGCTGAATGAATTTTCCGTGTTGTTTGTAGAAGAAGCAACTAAGTTGCGCAGGCTGATCTCCAATGAAGTCTTTTCCTTATCAGACATGGATAATAATGTGATCAATGGTTGATATGAAACACAAGTAAATTAATTTAAGTCTTGCTCTACTTCATTTTCTTTGACAGCAGAGGGGTATTCTGGAGGGGCAGCTCCTTGTATTTATATAAGAGGCAGACCTGCCTTCTCCCACGAGCAAAGTGGAACCGAAAATTGTGTTCTTCTTTGTAACTCGTGTTCCAAGGGTTCCGGATTCATTGTTTCGCAGCTATAAATTTGGCTGTAGAAAATTTTTCTTCTGTCAAATCTCGGTTATCGAAGGAGGGGGACACATCGATACTTTTTTTGGTAGCATTCCGAAAGTCGTTGTGTGGAAATTTATACTTAGCCGTGCGTGGTTCTGGTCCATCAGATCTCGGCATCGGATTACTTCTTCTCTACAATTTCTTTTTTTTTTTTTCTACATAGGATTGACAATAGCGGTTATTGAAGGAAATTTATTCACTGTCTATCCCGAATATATATAAAAAAAAAATCTAAGTTTCTATATAGACTCTAACATTATTACAAAAATCTATACAAATGACTCTATAAAAACAACAACCACACACGCGAAACTGGCAAGCTCGCTATCCACCAGAGTACGTATCTTCTTCCTCATCTTCTAGAATGTTATTCTTTAGTGCAGCTTTTTTGCAATAATCCTTACTTGCTTTCATTGCACATTTATAATTCCAATCGGATCCACGGATGTTGGCGTCGTCACGATTGTGCATCACCGTAGTTTCATCAAACAAGCTGGGCAACTTGATGACGTAGTTCAATAACCCGCGTAAATGGACAATAGACACATCTTGGTCTGCTGCAGATAATGTAACTCCCATATAATCATTTATTGCGACTGAATCTAGCGACGTCAATTGGTCAACATTTGCAAAAGTCTTTCCCTGTCGTGTCACACTTTCAATATCCCAGTATGCAATTGAATTGGGGATGAGAACATTTCTTCCCTCGCATGGCTCTGGGTTGCTTTCCATCAACTGGCCCAGCTTGGAATCAATTTTAGGATTCACCCACGGTGGTACATAAGCTCCAAAATCCAAGTATCCAGAAACATCACCTAGTTTGTAAAAATACTCGTTTGTTTCTTCATTGTGATCTTCAATCAATATCATCATGTTTGGTCTGTACATTGACTCACCGCACCCGCATTTGTTTAAATGCGCCCGGGCCCATCCTAGAAACACATTTCTATTGGCAGGGATACGGAGCAGATCGCGCACCTTTGGTGAGAACTTGTGTAGTGGCAAGGGAACCAACTGTGTGCCTCCACGTAAAGCCCCCACATAATCTTTCTTCTTTTTTTGTGGGTTTTGAAGAAAATCACAAACCGCCGTGTCAATGTCGCACACCAATACTTCCAAAGGAACAAGGGAGTAAATAAACTTGAGCTTATTGTGTGATTCCTCATTGGGACTGATGAATGGAGTCCAATTCTTTTCAATTTTTGCATACTTGTCAGTTCTCTTTTTCAATCGATTCAACTTGTCTGAAAAGGGGAGATACATAAACATGACACGCTTGGCTATTTGCAAATCTTTCAAATTAAACACAATCAATGGCTCTTCAAACCCCAATGGGTTCTTTCTTAAAATGATCCGCGGATCCTCTGGACCGTAATAGTATTTCTCATTTTCAGTCTTGATTGCATAATCGATGGGAATGGGCAAAATCTGTGGATATTCTACCTCCTTGTAGCGTAGCTGGCTACCACCTTGAACGGGAGTCACAGACCCATCCAAATTCATCCAGTTGCAACTCACTGGGTCTTCAAATGGGATTGTCAACTTGGATCCTTTTGGTAGTTCCTTCCAATCCTGATCAAATAATTGCACATACAAAAACGAAACATATGCTTTATTGGCTATACCCAGCGGGGAATACAATACTCGGCTGACCATATAGTGAACATTGAACTGCGATAACCAAACACTGGAACCGGCAAACCTGAACCATTGCTTATGTTCTGGTACCACAGACTTAAACCTGGCTTTTACCTTCTGCAACAACCCCGTGTATGCTTTGACCTGATTGAACTTGAACATAAAGTATTCAAAATCTGAATCGAGATACGATTGTTTCGTCACATCAAATGTATCTTCAAATTCCAACTCAGAACACATATCACTCTCTCTAAATACGTGATCCTTTGGCTTTCCATTGATTAAAGGATGCGGATCGGTGAATGTTTTGAGTGGAATAGGTTTAAACTCATTGTCTCCTAGGAACTGTTTAGATAAAGGAAAAGAGGGGCCTTGATCCGCATTTGACGAGGGATCAAGGGAATTCTGATGTGAGTGCACGACAGTGTACGTTGCTTGGGGATGTATGCGAAAAGTTTTAAATGGATTGAAATAAAAGTCGTTAATCGTGTAGATTATCAATGCAATAAAACCAATAAATGCAAGTAATGTCGCTAGTCTTCTGACTATACTACTATGGTACAACTTTTTGATGAAGGAGACAACGCGTATGACAAGTAGTTGTAGCCTGTTCAGTAGTCTTCCTGTTGACAACATCAAGAATCTAAATGAAAAGAAGTTTTTCAGCAATGTTTGTGAGTTGATAAAGATGTGTATCAGGTTATTCTAGTTTTGTATTGAAAATTCTAAAAGACTCATTCGAGTGGAGTAAGGATAATGTGATGTACTCAAACGTTACCATGCGATCGTGTGGCTGAGTTGCAAATTTGATATCTCTGCAAGATTAAAGATTTTCAGGAACAATTTGAAGAACAAAAAGAGTAAAAGAAAAAAAAAAAAAAAAAAAAACAAAAGTTGCGATACATTTGTCGCGTGCAATCAAACGCTCACTAGTCACTATAATAATACAAAACTGGTTTATTAAACGTAAAATAATCTTACAAGTAGACCTACTGAACACACCTATCTGTTCTTCAACAAACTCTGCTCAATCAGGTCAATGTTACTTTCAATCTCATCAAATCTCATTCCACAACTCAACGAAATAAGTTTGCAATACTTGATCAACTTGTTATCAGGATCCGATGCGTACTGCTCAGTAATAGGCTTTGAAGTGTCTGCATCGTTGGGCAATAGAGGTACGTCCTTGGAGTAGTCCACAACTGAATTCAACAAATGTCTTTTCTTCAAAATCTCAATCTGTAAGAGGTTTGCAAGTTCAAATCGATCACCATCAGCGTCGTCAGCGTCGTCAGCGTCGCCATCCTCTTGGGGCAGTGCAGCCTCTAATTGCTTTTTGATTCCATACTCTTTGGCGGTTTTGAACTTTTGTAGTGCCCGGCTCAAGTCGTCCTGTTTGTGCAATAACTGATACGTTGAGTCATTGACCAACCGTTGTATCTCTTCCTGTATAATTTGATCTCGCTTGAAATTCACTTGATAATTATCATAGTTGGTTTCAAGAACGTTGGACTCCTGACTAGACGGGTCCAATTTCTCCTTTTGCGGGCTTTCATCCAAATCATCAATCAAATGCTCCAACTTGAACATGGATAAAATGGAACGCTGTGTCGATAGTTTGATTTCATTCACTTTGGCTAATGTCTTGAAATAGCCCAATACAACATCATCCTTTTCTTTCAACTCCTGATTGATGATGTACGATAGCTCTGCCATCTTCTCGGTCAAGATGTTGGCAGTATTGTTGTACAAATTGATCGCTAACTTGGAATTGTATAGTTGTGCATCAAACGATTGTCCAAGAGAGTCGGCCTCTTCTATCATGTCATGTCTGGGGTTATTTATAAGCTGCGTGTTCTCAGAATTAGAGTTCTCCTCTCCGTCAGTAGCTGCATCGAGACGAAGCACATAATTATGAGATGCCAAGTAATCCTCAACGGTGCATGTGACCAAATTCCTCAAACTGAAATTGATAAACTTGTGATAATCAATAAACACTCTGATCAATTTTTTACTCAAATTGTACGCGGCAATATGGAAAGCGGTATTTCCATCAGAATCCTGGTGGTTAATAAACTTTGTAATCAATTCAAATTTTTCATCTGATGTATTTTCCTTGTCTTCACTGGAACCGTCCCCACCCAGTACAAGATGCTTCAACAAAATCTCCAAATAATAAGCGGCTACTTTTTCCTTCTTGTATTCCACTATATGGTGCAACACAGTCTTTCCACTGGAATCAACAAGTATAAGAGACTCAAAAAGCACACTCAAAACCTCCTCAAAAGTATTTGAACTAAAACAGTTGCTGAATTTCACCATAAACATCAAGGGCGTCTCCCCGTTATTATTCCGTATGTCAAGTCGTATCTCTTTGCCAAATTTGTCAATCAAAAATTTTATGAGTGTCAAGTATCCCAATGAACAAAGCCAATGGAAAATGGTATTTCCCTCATTATCGATGGGGTGGTTAATGTGAATCTTTGATACCGGGTGAGGCGGATTCAAGAGTTTTTCTGGTAAAACATTTTCGGGAAGCGCATTCCACTGTCCCTTATGCCCTTCATCATCCAAAAAGAACGCCACAAAATTACTAAAATAATCCGAGTATATTTGATTTTCTTGCGGAAGGTTGATACTAGGCTGATGATAAGGGGTAATCAAGTCTGCTTGGGGTCCGTTGAAATTATGAGCATTCTTTTCAAACGTATTCCGCGAAACACCAAACAACTCTCGACTGGTTAACAAGTCGGCGTTTGTGTCAAAATCGCCATTGGTCATCGACACACCATTGTTCTTCTTACTTCTTTTCAAACTTGCCCCGCCATTCTTTGCAGAACTGTCGTCGTCATCTTCGTCAGTGTCCACCAGCGCCAAGTCTTCTCGTCTCAAATTCATGTTGGAAGCCATCATTTGTAGAGCATCCTGTTCTGTATTTTGACGCGACATTCGAGGTATAGGAGCCGCAAAAGAGCTGTCTCTGCTGTAGCCACCCACAGTACTTCCCAAAGGAACAGTATCTGAATGCTGTAGACTTGGAGTTGAGCTCAATGTCGACCCTTTTGGTCTACCACGCTTTCGTGGTTCATCATCTCCAACTTTTTTCGCTTTTTGTGGTTTTGGTTGTTTCTGCTGTGCATCTTTTTTCTGTAGCGATGCTTGTCTCTTTGCTATGTTTAGTGCACTAGCATGGTTGTGCTTGGGAGCGGGTGGTGGTGTTTCAGTTTTTCCCTCAATGTATTCGAAATCAAAAATCGGCTTCAAGGTATCATAAACGCCGTAATTTTGGGCAATCACCTCACCCAACTTTAATGGTACATATGTCCCTTGATATTTACCGTATCCACCTTGGACTTTTTCGTGTATGCCGGTCTGCACGTCCTTTTCGAGTATCCGCGTTCTCTTGGCCTTAGGTAACTTTGCTATCTTTAAAATGTGCGTAGCATTGATCCAAGAGTCCCCCTTTCGTCTCATAATTGGACCTTCAGAGGTGACATATTCAAAGACAGGAACATTTGAGTACGTTGCTGAGTATATTTGTGTGTTCTCCGACATCTTGAGGATTTGGGTTTGTTAGGGTTGAATCGTCCGTCCGCACACGTTTGGTCCAATGTGAGTCACTTCAATATGTCAAGAGGAGATGATTTGTGAATGGGGTTGAGGGTAATTATGTGGTTATGGAATTGAATTGGTGATGGTGATGAACCCAGTGGTTGGCTAGATCGTGTGTATTGTTTGTAGTATACAAATCCTTGTTTTACAAAGTGTTGATATTGAGATTTTGTAACGATATGTTTCTGTTTTTTTTTTTTGTTTTTTTTTTCCTTTACATGGAATAAGAGGTGCATTGGTCTTCAAACTATGTTTTCGGCTTCTCTTCAAGTGACATGAAGTAAATATAAAACCGAGTTAATAGGAGCAGTAAAAGCCCTACAAGGGAAGCCCTCTACAGCAAAATATGACTCAAAACGCAAATCTATATTTTGAAAAACAATAATGCTACAGCATTGCCAGACTGGAATCGCGGCCCAATTTGACCTTCACCACAAGTTTCTTCTTGCGCAATCTCTAATGCACCTTGTAGCGAGACCTCTTCCTATCTAGCTCCCTATGATGACTCTGGCTAGTCTATACAAAAGCAAAGCCATCAAACCAACCAAAAACATCACAATATAGGTCAAGGCATTCCCTAATGACCTCATGTGGTTGTCATCGGGAGTTTTTTCCTCATTTAGTGGAATGCTAACTACATGCTCTGAAGCCCGGTAGCAAACCTCTCTTCTTCTTATTAGATAGCAATCCCTCTCATCAATTGTGCGCTTGAGAATGGCCTTTCCTAGAAGTAAATTGGTGTAATGGACTAGCGAGGCCTCAAATGTGCAGAACGCTGTACGAAGTGTGACGGACTCTCGCTCAATGCTACTTGTCACTCTTTCAATCTCTAGTAACTGACGCCACACTGACGGTTCAAAACTGTATGGTATATTGTCGACAATCAAAGATACTTGGAAAAGCTCATCAGCAGACCTGAGTGACCGTATAATTGAACTCGTTTGTTGTTTCAAGTATGGAACCAACAATTTTTTCAAATTACTGAAAGATGTGAAGAATACTTCAATGCAGTGAAGAGTTTTATTGACAAACTCAAACGTGTGTAGTGTTGAATGCAAAATTAAATTCACCGACGGTCTTATGTTGTGTTCGTATGATTGGAGCTCAATTTGTCTGAAATTTGTACTCGTTGAGGAACCATTGGTGGCACCGCTCATGTTGTTATAGGTCGACTCATCCATAGTATCCTTACCAAATATATCATTGAAGTCGTTCTCCAACTGTAGGATATTATTCTTGCATTCGTTGGCCATGGTAGTTATGTCGTCATATTGGGGAATCTTTTTCAACAACGTGGAGTACACCGTCAACACGTCGGAGTACAAGTGTACAATCGTCTTCAAATTGATGAGATATTTGAGAACAGCATTGTTTAAACAGTATTTAAAGATTTGGGAGTTCTGTAGAAGTAGATCTTGATCCTCCTCTGTCAAATCTAGAGAGACTCTAATCTTCCGATCACCTATAGTGTATGGCATGATGAAAGGGTGTTGTTCTTGTGATTAGTTATAACTTTGTCACCATTGGTTTTATTGAGGTTTGAGGCGAAAATTAAAAAAAAAATAAAAATAATTAAAAAAAACATAAAAAAAAAAAGACGGAAGAGAGACAACGGCAAATGGGGAAGAGGGCAGTTGGCCCAAACATTGGTACGCTTACAGATGGTGTGTAGACACGGACAAATCACCTCTCTCTAGTAGAGCGGACAGTTATCTGTATCCCTAAACGCTGAGAAAAGCTTCTTTTTTTTTTTTTTTGCCAGATTGTCAGCTCGAAATTGCTGAAAAGTAATCAATAAATATTTGTATGCGACATTTGCTCACATCTCACTCATCGCGACATACCATTTGCTTGAGACATTTTTGAATGACGCAACTAAAATGGAGATTACGCGACACACATTCGCACACAGGCGCAATCATTGCATCCACCAGAGCCAAATTCCATTCTCAACTCCGTAGCGTTTTTAAACATAATTGACATATACAACCCAGTACCCACCATACCACCACCCCTTACACATTCTTTTTAACTATGGGAGTATTTGATATCTTCAGTAGCAAACACGGATTCGACCCAACTAAATTTGAAAAGGAGTTTAGTCAGTTGACAGCAAACATCAACAAAACCAAACAGCAATTGGCAAGATTAACCCAAAGGAAACGAAGTTTGAATGCTAGACTAGAAGCATTTGTGTCAATTGGCTATGTGCTAATCTTTATGTACTGCTACTTTTCCATCCCCAATGACGTTCGTGCTACAAACCGTGTACAGAAATTCATAAAGGGACAATCTAAGCAAAACATCTATGTTCTTATAATCTATCCTTTGGCTTCGATTTTGGTCATCAAGATCATCAACTATGTTTTCAATTATCTTATCAATCGCCAGGACCGGTATTTGTCCAAGTTGCAAACTCAACACAAGGCCAAAATGGATGAATTGAAAAAGATTACAAACTTTAACGCCACAAACGAATTGATCAACAAGTATGGTGAAAAGCAAGTACCGCAGCAGATTCCTCAACAACTTCAAAAGGGAGTTGCTGCCGGAAAGAAGAAGAACAACGACAAGCAAGAGAAGTTGAGGGCCCAAGCTTTGAAAGAGTTGCACTTGAACGATAAGCAACTTTCCTCAAACCAAAAGGCCACTCCTGTCAAGAACCGGGAAAATGCAGTAAAAGCAGAATCTACACAAGTACCATCTTCGCACCCACGCACATTTCAAGATCGATTATTGGACTTGTTTGTAGGTTCAGATAACTCTGAATCAGTGGAGCAACGATATGCTTTAATTTGCTCGCATTGTTTTGCCCATAATGGATTGGCACCACCTCATTGTGAGGATCCTCTGTTGGTGAAGTACCAATGCTGGAGATGTGGTGCGTTGAATGGGAAAGGAATGTTGTTTGGCCATTCCAGTCAAGATCAGCAAAAGCTGGATGGTACTGTGGAGGAGAAGCCATTGCAAAGGAGCATACCTGAACCTGATGAGCTTTCTGTTGGAAACGATGAAAAGGAAGTTGCTACACTGGAGAAATTAGCCGACGCTGACCCCTCCTCCCTTCTGAGAACGAATGCTTCCGCTGTCACTACTCTGGAATCTCCAACTTCAAATATTGAGGACTCAAACCAATAGCTTATAAAACCTGCAATCAGTATGTCTTTCTTCGATGCCTTATATAAGTAGAGCTACTAATAAACGTACCCTTTTAAGATTCAGTGGATAAAATTATATATATTTAACCTCTATACACAGTTTCCTTAAGACAATTCCATAAGTGCATTGACCATGTCACCATTGTGGTTCTTCAAAGCCTTGACTGCTTTGGCTCTAGAGACGTGAGTTTGTTCGACAATCAAAGCAATATCTTTTGGATCAAACTCAGATTCGTCAACTTCTTCATCGTCATCTTCAACTTCCTCAACCTTGTTTTCAGCCAAGCTTGCTTTTTCCATATCAGCAGTGATGGCTTCTGGTGACTTGTCTTCGGTAGCAGTAGCAGCAGCATTGGACAAAGCATCTTGTTGGGCTTGTTGGGCTTGAGCTTCAGCAATTCTTTGGTTCATGTCGTCGACCTTAGCTTCACCGAAAACAACATAAGTACCAGCGGCTGATCTGTAGACATCTGGGCTGTCAATGGCGTAAATCAAGTTACCTCTTTGTTTGAAAGTGACTCTGGAAATACCTTTGATTTGTTTCAAGTTCAACTTCTTGATCAATTCTCTGGCTTTCTTTTCGTTTTTGTTTGAGATGATGTTGACATCAGCACCTTGTGGAATTTCTTCAGTAGCAGACATTGTATAATTGGTAAACTATATGGGGTTATGCAGGGAGGGGAGTGTCCTATATACTTCCAAATTGAAAAATTTATCCCTGCAATTTTCCAAAGTCGACGAAAAAGCGAAGCGAAACATAATTGCGGTAGTGTTACTTGGCTAAAAAAATAAAAAAAGTCCATAGGTGAAAATTTTTTTTCACTTTTTCCCTTGTCTTCCTTCACCTTGCGCACACGACCTCTATGATTTGCAACGCTATAAAAGGGCGATTGATCCATCAAATTTTTTTTACAATTTTTTACCCTTTTTCTTTTTCTTTTCTCTGTCGACGTACTTCATAGGATCATTTCTATAGTAGACGTCCCTCTTTGACTCTTCAAAAGAGCCACTGAATCCAACTTGGATGATGAGGTCTTTGTCTCCAGTCCATAAAGTGAGAAATAATTTTGCTTGACTATGGCTTTCCATAGCCTAGTCATCAATTTGTTTGCCTCGTCAATCACTGAAATATCTAATTTCGGTGTAGAGGAGCGATGATCTTGGTCCCATTTCCTTATACCTTTTCGGAGGGAATTGATTTGGGGTGGACTGTAGACTGACTGACAAGTTAACAAGAAACAAGCAAATAGTGTGTGGTGTGTGGTGTGTGAAGTGGCGGCGTGTTATCGCTTTTCAACTTGCACTGAACGTAGAGGATTACTCAACAACTTTTACATTGTTTTTTTTTGCGATGAGTTTGTTGTGTTGCCATACCCTATTTCTTTTCCACCCCCAAAGAATATCTATGAAAATCTCTTTCTTCATCGCGATGCGAATGGTAGCGCATACTGCAATAGATGAGAGCTCATAACTTACTTATGGAGGCGAAGGTCCCAGCGTGTGCCGAGTGTGACACTCAGACTAGTGAAGTCTCTAGTACATATATCACTCGGTAGTGTTGTTGTATACTCATCGGTTTACCCTACTACTTGTCTATGATATATTACTCTTCAATCTCCTGTGAGGGATTATTCTGTGCTGATTTTACGGCCGGATGTAAAAAAGGCAAAAAATATATATAAAGAGTCTTCTCCGAAGCACAAATGTGCCCGAATAAATTAAGTTGTAAATTACTAGATAGTTGTTAGAGAACGACTTACATCTCTTAGTAATGGCTTTGCTTTTCTCTCTCTGTCTCTCTCTCTCTGTCTCTCTCTCTCTCTCTCTATACCCCAAAAGGCTCTTGTACGATCCCACTAAAGTAATTCAACTTCATACAAGCTCTTTCTGCATGCTCTCTCTTTTTTCAACTACATCCGTCCGAGTTTTAACGCCGAACAATATTCCGAACAATCAATTACGGGCGCATATCTCTTCCCTATGAAATATTGCGTATTTGCGTTATAGAAGATCGCAGTTCTAGGTGAAATGAGTACGGCATTGTTGGTTTCACCTGGAACTGTGATTTCTCACAACTCTTGAGCTTGCTCTATAACTGCAAAATTTTTGCTTTATTCTGATGAATATATTTTCTTGTAAAATTTAAAGTTAGGTTTGTTTGTTTTTTTATTGATATCCTCCTTTACAATTGATTAGCACCAAACTTTATTTCCATCGCTTACAAAAAACCTTCTGTCCAAGTGGATGGTGGAAAGAAGTAGAGGTTTATCCACGTGGGTGATACATTACCAAGTATTACAGAATCTTGAATCTTGGGGATCTGATTAATCTCATTTTCGGAAAAGAGGATGGATATCTCAATTGGTTACAAAACTTTGTTCCGAAGCAAAAAAAAAAAAACAAATACAAAGAAAAAGAAGAAGAAGAAGAAGAAAAAGAAGAAGAAGAAAAAGAAGTGAGGAAAATAAAGACAGAGACAAATCTTACAAATATCGCAGTCATTTATAATCAACAACAACAACAACAACAACAACATCTGCTCTCCCCCTTCTTGTCAACAACAGCAAAGATCTTTAACCCACTGACTGTTGAGTCATATTGTGTCCCTAACTACCAATAATCAAGACCAAGAACAGTGACAACACCAAGAAGAACCACTACGGTACAACTTTATACAACCTTTACCTTCCGCCCCCCTCATCCCCCTCCTCTTAGACTAAAACACTGAAGGCACCCAGAGCATTCATTGCCATGGCTGACCTTCACGAAAACTCCCCCAATACATCCTTCAAAGAAGAAACGGGCAAGAATTCTAAAGAGGTGGACTCTTCGTCCGGATCTCACAATGACGGCAGTGTAAACGCAAAGCAATCTAACAGATCTTCAGCCCAAGATTTCCTCAATGCCCGTCCACCAACTTTCAAAGACAGGATACAGAGATTCTTTTACTATAGAGGACTAGGCGACAGGCCAGAATATTTACAAGAGATCTACAACAATATCCCGCGGACTATATATTTCAACTACGATTTGCCGGCAGATATGAAAGATAGTGATGGACATCCTATTCTCGAATACCCTAGAAACAAAATAAGAACTACAAAATATACCCCCCTTTCGTTCTTGCCCAAGAATTTGCTTTTGCAGTTTACTAATGTTGCCAATACCTACTTTTTAATCTTGGTGATTTTGAGTGCTTTCCAACTTTTTGGAGTGCCGTCACCTGGTTTAGCCGCAGTCCCCTTGATTGTTATTGTTTGTATCACGGCAGCCAAGGATGCATTCGAAGATTATAGAAGAGTGGTAAGCGATCTTGAATTGAATAATAGCCCGATACATTTACTATGTGGGGTCAAAAATCCAAATGTCGAAAAGGACTTTGTTGGACCGTACAGAAGGTTCAAAAAGGCATGTACGCGAGCAACCATAAAAACCTTCAAGGCTATCAGAAAAGCTTGTATATATGTCTTTGGAAACAAGCGTCAAAAGCAGGATTTCATTCGCGAACAAGCTTACCAGGAAGACCTAGCTTTGCACAGGGTTAGTACGGTGGTTTCAGATTACTCGTATCACTCGCAACATCCCACTAGTGTACGGTCTCCAAGAAACAGCACATATTCTCCAAGAATGAGCACCCAGTCGAGAAATAGAAAGTCCGCGCAGTCGAGGCACCCACCAACAAAAGCTCTTGCGAACTCGTTACTCAATCCTGTATTGAAGGAAGAAAATGCCCAACATCCCGAGATGAATAGAGCTTCCTTTAAGAATAGATATTGGAAGGATGTGAATGTTGGAGACATGATTAGAATCAGGGCAGATGAAGAAGTACCTGCTGATGTTGTGATTATTTCAGCTTCAGATGCGGAAGGAAATTGTTATGTTGAGACCAAAAATTTGGATGGCGAAACAAATCTCAAAACAAGAACTGCTCTAAAATGTGGAGGAAACAATAACTTGAAGCACTCTGATGATTTGAGTGATACCAAATTCTGGTTAGAGTGTGATTCACCAAACCCAGACCTATATTCATTCAGGGGAACTATTCACTATGAAAATTTTGATGATGATGGAAATTTGGTCAACCCTGACGAAAAAGAAGTCATAACTCCAGAAAATGTCCTTTTGAGAGGCTGCATTTTGAGAAATACCAAATGGGCAATCGGGCTTTGTGTGTATACTGGACGCGAGACAAAGATTATGTTGAATGCTGGTATCACTCCAACAAAAGTCTCGCGTATTTCTCGAGAATTAAATTTGTCCGTTATTATCAACTTTGTGTTGTTATTCGTCTTGTGCTTCATTTCTGGGGTGGTTAATGGTCTATTTTACCGAGTGCATGATAACTCCTGGGTTTATTTCGACTGGCACCCGTATGGATCAGGTCCAGCAGCACGAGGTGTGATTGCTTTTTTCGTTGCTTTAATCATCTACCAATCGTTGGTACCCATCTCATTATACATTTCCATTGAAATCATCAAAACCTTACAAGCATTTTTTATTCACTCCGATGTCAAGATGTACTACTCAAAGTTGGATTTTCCATGTATTCCAAAAGCATGGAACATTTCTGATGATTTGGGCCAAATTGAATATGTGTTTAGTGACAAAACCGGTACCTTGACGCAAAACGTGATGGAGTTTAGGAAATACACCATAAACGGGAAATCATATGGTTTGGCATATACAGAGGCAAAGCAAGGGTTGGACAAAAGGCAGGGATTGGATGTGGTGGAGGAAAGTGTAAAGTGGAAAAAGATAATATCTGACGATAGACAGTTGATGTTGGATAATTTGCACAAGCTCTCAAACAACGATCAGCTACGTGATGACAATGTTGCCTTTGTCTCAAATCAGTACGTTGAAGATACCCTATTAGCTGATCCCAATGACCCGCAACGAATTGCCAATGAAAAATTCATGTTTGCGTTGGCGTTATGTCATACCGTGGTGACGGAGCAAAATAGGGATGATCCCGAGTTGCGTGACTTCAAAGCAGAGTCCCCCGATGAAGCCGCTTTGGTGTCGGTTGCTAGAGATATGGGAATTGTTTTTAAAACCAAGTTGAGACAATCTTTGTTACTACTGGTGTATGGGAAAGATGAAGAATTTCAAGTACTCAATACAATCCCATTCACTTCTGCAAGGAAAAGGATGTCTTGCATTGTTAAAGCTCCAAATGGAGAAATCACATTGTATACAAAGGGAGCTGATAGTGTTATATTCCAAAGATTAGACCCTGAAAGAAACTCGCATGATTTGGTGAGCAAAACTGCTTTGTATCTCGAAGATTACGCAAACGAAGGTTTACGTACATTATGTATTGCATCGAGGCAACTTGATCCAAATCAATACGAGAACTGGGCTCAAAGATACCACGAAGCTATCGTTTCCATCGACGATAATAGAGAGGATTTGATTGACGAGTTAAACGATGCCATTGAGACAGACTTGATTTTGTTGGGCGGTACAGCCATTGAAGATAGGTTGCAAGCGGGTGTACCTGACTCTATAGCCATCTTGGGACAAGCAGGTATCAAATTATGGGTTCTTACTGGAGACAGGATTGAAACTGCCATCAATATCGGGTTTTCATGTGACTTGTTAGAGAGTAACATGAAGCTTTTGGTTGTGCGACCAGATGAAAATAACCCTACAAATGTGGAATACATTGACGAATTGATCACAAAGCACTTGTCAGAAAATTTTCAAATTGACGCGTCAAGCTCGGAAACTATCGAACCGTTGATCACGGAAGCCAGGAAAGATCACTCTCCTCCAAGTTCGAAATTTGCATTGATCATTGATGGTGCTGCTTTGGGGCTCATTTTCCAAGATTCGGACGATTCTACGAATGCCAATATGGAATTGCTCAAGGATAAGTTCTTGTTATTGGGAAAGCAATGTAAATCAGTTATGTGCTGTCGTGTATCTCCAGCTCAAAAGGCTGACGTTGTGCGTATTGTAAAGAATCGTTTGAAAGTTATGACTTTGGCAATAGGTGATGGGGCAAATGATGTTGCCATGATCCAAACTGCCAATATCGGTGTTGGTATTGCTGGTGAAGAAGGTCGTCAAGCTGCTAACTCCTCAGACTATGCACTTGGTCAGTTTAGGTTCTTAACGAGGTTGTTACTTGTTCATGGTAGATGGTCATACAAACGGTTGGCGGAAATGGTGCCATGTTTTTTTTACAAGAATGTTGTGTTTTCGTTTACGTTTTTCTGGTATGGAATTTACAACAACTACGATGGGTCCTATCTTTACGAGTATACCTATCTTATGTTTTACAACTTGGCATTCACCTCGTTGCCGGTTATTGTGATGGGAGTTTTGGACCAAGATGTGTCGGACACTGTTTCGTTATTGGTGCCCCAATTGTACATTAACGGAATTTTGAGTCAAGATTGGTCACAGTACAAGTTTGTGATGTACATGATTGATGGATTGTACCAGTCTGTTATCTCATTCTATTTCCCGTTTTTGTTGTTTTACAAAGCATTTCAAAACCCACAAGGGATGACCATTGACCACAGATTTTATGTTGGTATTGTTGCCGCATGTATCTCAGTTACAGCATGTGACCTCTACGTGTTGTTGCGTCAATATCGCTGGGACTGGCTTACATTGTTGATTGATGGTATTTCCATTCTTCTTGTTTACTTTTGGACTGGTGTGTGGAGTGTCAACAAGAACTATTCTGGAGAGTTTTATCGTGCTGGTGCTCAAACATTAGGGACTTTGGGAGTTTGGTGTTGTATTTTTGTAGCTGTGATTGCTTGTTTACTACCCAGATTCACCATTGACTTTTTGCGTACAAATTTCAAACCCACAGACGTTGATATAATAAGAGAACAAGTTCGTCAAGGTAAATATGATGATTATCCTGAGGGATATGATCCAACTGACGCAGAGGATGTTGAGAGACACAGATTGCTCACCGAAATCATCAAACAAGATCCCGAGTTGTTTGATAAGATGGAGAAGGAGTACGAGGAGGAAAAACTCGATCATGAGAATAAACTTGAACGAACTTTCAAGTCAATAAAGAGAAAGACCACTATATCTGGCTCGAGGTCGCGGAAGAACTCTCAAAGGCTAAGAAAGAATACTATCAACAACCAGTTCCACAAACCGATTTCAATTGAAGAGTTGAGACAGCAAATGATTCAGACTGGCGAGTACAACACTGCAAGAAATACGTTGGAGAGAATCAGTACATCTCATGCAGTGCCGGGATTGACTCAAGCTGAAACTTTAATGTCATACCATACTAGAAACAGTATAAGCTTGAATCGTGGTCAAGCTGTATAAGAGTGGTACCATGTGAGGGTATCCTTGTTTCAATTTACTTTTCGTTCTTTTCTTTCCGTTGTATATTATTGTATTAATTTATTTGCATTTGTATGTTGCATTGTGAGAGTGTTTTTTTTTTTTTTCTTCTCTTCTCTCTGTCTCTGTCTATGTCTCTGTTTCTTTTGTTGATGAATTATCGAAATTTCTTCAGACACACACTATTTTCTCCGTAATTTATTCCCTGAACTAACTTCATGTTCACGTTCTGCCTATTAACTCCAGGTCCAAACGATCACGCGTTCAAGGCGTCGCTCTTGACATTTGATAATGAACAGCGAATATTAGCGGACCCGTCATGGAATGGTATTGATCCGAAAGCAGCTCGATTTATGGAATCGCATTTACAACAAACGAATGCAATCATCATATCACATTCAACAAATGAATTCATCAGCGGATACATTCTTCTTTGCATAACATTTCCAAGTATTATGTCAAATATCCCAGTTTATTCGACATTGCCTGTTAACCAATTGGGTAGAATATCAACAGTGGAATACTATCGATCTCTGGGTATCCTCGGTCCACTATTGTCGAATCTTGTGGAGTTGGATGAGATTGATAATTGGTTCGACAAGTTTAATATCGTAAAGTATCAACAAAATGTTACCATTTGTGATCGAAAGATTACAATGACACCTTACAATTCAGGGCACTCATTGGGTGGGACTTTTTGGTTGTTGGTGAAGAAAATTGATCGTATCATTTATGCACCAAGCTGGAACCACTCGAAGGACGCCTTTTTGAACAGTGCAAACTTTATAAACGCAACGCTGGGTAATCCACATTTGTCCTTGCTTCGCCCAACAGCGTTCATCACTGCCACGGACTTGGGATCTGCAATGTCACATAAGAAACGGTGCGAGAAGTTTTTGCAATTGGTCGATGCCACTTTGGCCAATGGTGGCTCGGCTGTAATTCCAACATCCATCTCCGGGCGATTTTTGGAAGTTTTCCACTTGGTTGATGAACACTTGAAAGGTGCGCCCATTCCAGTTTACTTTCTATCTTATTCGGGAACTAAGATATTGAGCTATGCATCTAGTTTGATGGATTGGATGTCCCTGGGTTTCAGCAATACGTGGAACAGTGATGGTGGTAACAACAGTCTACTACCTTTCAATCCTAGTAAAGTGGATTTACTATTGGACCCTTTGGAATTGTCCAAGACACCAGGGTCCAAAATCATTTTTTGTGCAGGCTTGGATTTGAAAAATGGTGATCTTTCAAGTAAAGTTTTTCTGTACTTATGTAACGATGAAAGAACAACTGTTATATTGACCGAAAAGCCACCAGCAGCAGCAGCCACCAACAGTGTAGAAAACGGTATGGGACTCAGCACCGATTTGTATCATGAATGGGTCAGATTGTCCAAGGAGAGGACTGGAAAGGTTGTTGATGGTACCCCTGTACCGTTGGAAAAAATTATCAACTTAAATAGTTGGGTCCAAGAAGAGGAAGCCAATGGTCCCGAGGCAGCTGATTTTGTCAAGAAGATTACCCAAAAGAGAAAAGAGAAGTTAATGGCGAAAGTCAGAGACCAAAAGAGACAAAACTTGTTGAGCACAGATGTGATAGATGTCGAGGACTCTTCGGACGATGATGAAGAGGAGAATGATGACGAGACGAGTGCAAAAGTTGGCGAAATATTTGATGAAAAAGTAAAGCAAGAAAAGACGCACGTGCCATCGACAAAGGAGGTTGACGATTTAATTCAACATGAGGCTTTTGTCATGGACAATGTGAAACAAAACTTTGAAAATCATTTACCAATTGATATCCGAGTTACTCATAAATTAAAACCCCGCCAAGCCACGTTCCCCTTCTTTCCTCCCAAAGTTACCTTTGATGACTACGGTCAAGTTATTGATGCAAAAGATTTTGAAAGAACTGACCAGATCTCCCACAACAAGATCATTATGGAAGGAAAGAGGAAATTTGACGAAAAGAAACAAAAGTGGAATAAGAATGACAAAACCGACAAGAAAAAGAATCAACAAATGAGTAAATTGACACCGCAGGAGCAAGTCAATCAGCAATTACTACAAAAGTATTTAGACACGTTATACAAACCTATGAAACGAGTTCAACCAGGACATAGAACTTCTTCCAGCACCCAATTGAGAGTGAGATGTGGGCTAGCGTTTGTTGATTTATCGGGACTAGTGGATTTACGTTCTTTAGGTATAATTGTGCAAGCAATCAAGCCGTACAATTTGATACTTTTACCTGACGAAAGAGCGAGCGATCAATCTGGACTTGATCAGGTTGAAAAGTTTTTCGAACAGCAGCAGAATGAGCAAACTGTTGAAAATACTAAAAAGCAGATTGTAAACTCTTCGAGATATTTATCTTTGTCAGCAATTCGTGATGGTCTCACCACTTCTACATCTCCACTTTCTAGTGGCAAGCTTAATGTTCTCGTTGCTCACGATGATCAACCTATCAAGATTGGAGTGGATTCCGAAAATGGTGTTATTGGATTGAGGAACTTTGAAATCAACTTGGACGATGCAGTGGTGTCCACCTTGAAATGGCAATCGGTTGGTGACAATTATAAAGTTGCCAAATTGTATGGTGAATTGGAGTTGATCAACGAGCAAGAATCGTCTCCAGAGCACAACTTGCACAAGAAGCGCAAGTTGTTGCAGGATTACATCAACTCAAACACCCAATTTTCATTGAAGCCACTTGAATCTGAGCAAGCTCTTTTCAAGCAAAGCAATGCCAATCTTTTGGCAACGACAAATGATCCAAAAATGTTGACGATGATTTCAAATGCACCCAAATTAGCTATTGGTAATATTCGGCTACCAGATTTGAAAAAGAAATTGACCTCGCTTAACTTGAATGCAGAGTTCAAGGGAGAAGGTACATTAGTTGTTGATGATGCCTTGGCAATCCGGAAAATAGCCTACGGTTCGTTGGAGAGCGACGACAGCGGTGACATTGTCATTGATGGAAATGCAGGACCATTGTATTATACAGTCAAGGAATGTATTAAAGAGATGTTGGCATATGTATAGATAAAAAGACTAAAAGATATCATCGCCATATTCATTTATTGTGTATGTCGTTGGCAATTCCTGCAAACATGTAAACCTAGTAATCTCAACACTTATTCTGAAGGAGGTGGTGGTGGCCGAGAATGTGGAGTTGGTGGAGCTGGTGGAGCTGGTTGAGCTGGTGGAGCTGGTGGTGGAGGAGGCTTCGCTGATGTAGTCTTTTTGTTTATGGGTGGCGCTGGTGGCCCAGGTGGAGGAGGGGTCGGTTTCAGCACCGGAGGCGGAGGTGGTTTGCTTGTTTGTTTGGCCAGTATATGAGGCATTGGTGGCAAGTGTGAATCACGTTTGGTTGATATCGTTGGCGGAGGCGGCGGAAGATTGCCTGTACTTGATATTGTAGGTGGTGGAGGTAGATGACTGGAGGAGGGGACAGATGGAGGAAGCACTGGAGTATTGGGTCCACGAGCATCCGCACTTTGCCATGGAGGCAAGGGCATCTCTGTTCTTTGTCTCTTCGATGCTTGTTCGGGCAGTTCGTGGTTTGCGTTTGGATGTGGAGTGTAAGAGTCCATGCCCCGACGATGTTGATCTCCACCATGTTGTGATTTCTGATTACAATCCCTTGCATAATGACCAACTTTGCCACATATCTTACAGACAATCTTTGTAATATCGAATGACCGCTGCTGTCTCCTTTGATAAGCTTCAGGATCAAATGGCTTTGTTTCTCGTAGTGTACCATTCAAAACAGCCAACTCTTTCAATTGCTCCCGCTTTAGCTCATTTTGACCCACGGGGGAGAAAACCAATTTTTCAATAACCTCATTAGCTAATTTAACGGCCTTGGCAATCTTTTGTTGTGAATCAGAAGTGATCAAAACGTGCAAGTCGTCTTCAACAGAGTCCGTACCAGTTGATGATTGATCTTCAATTGCCATTTGTGTAGATTTACCCTCCTTGACGGAACCCTTGCCACGAATCTGAAGGCGCGCCCCACTTTCATCTTGTAGCCTTTTCAATGTTCTACCTCTAGGCCCAATCAAAAACCCAACAAAATTGATATCCGGGTAGTCCTTAACAGGAATGTACAATTTTTCAAACGTCTTTGAAGGCTTGCGGTAATCAGATGGAGCACTATAGTTTTTGATGTTTGATGCAGCCAACTCAACTAGTTCGTGTCTCTCCTTCTCCAAAGCCTCTCGCACACGTTGCTCTCTGGTGTTGATTCTATTTCCTTGCTTGTCATACTTTGGTGGTGGTGACGGGTCTCTTTTGTAGTGGCTTCCCGGTTCAGCATGCGATGATGGTAGAAATTCAAGTAACAGCCTGTGTTGTTGCTGTGATTTTCTTAGCAAATCGGAAATTTCTTCTATCCTAAACACTTGTTGGTACGCATCGAGTTGTTCTTGAGTCAAATGCCCGGTGATGACAGTTTCAAGCTTAACGTGGCTGAACTGTTTGGACCTTGTGGGTTTCCCAGACCATAGGGTCTCCCTCTGGTTTGGGCTCACTTCTGACCTACCTCTGATGGACATTAGAGCAGTATTGTTGTGTGTGTGTGCTGTGTGATACTCTCGATACCTCTTCCCATCTTTTTTCTTTTTTGTATTTTTATTGTCACAATTTTTATATTTTGAGGGAAAGCTAAGTGAAAGATGAATGCTGAATACTATTTATACAAGCCATCGAGCGCTATACAGCAGCAAAAGCTACAGGGAGATATGCACTTTTTGAGTGCTAGGGTTTTGATCGATATATACCCACCTCCCCAAAAATCACAATCTACTAAACCGTAATATTGTCAACACTTCCCAACCGGCCTTCTTGCTGATTACAACGTCCACCTTCCAACCTCTATCTGTCATTTCGTTGGCCACCTTATCGGGGTTATTTCTAGCGCAAAATAAGATGTACGCGACACCGTCAGTGCTCAATATCCTTTCCAAATTATTCAAAACCTTCCAGGTGACAATCATTCCATCTTCACCCCCCAACAATGCCAAATCTAGCCATTTCGAATCCTCGTCGGTGACAGGTATATCGGGTACTTCAGATGCTGGTACGTAGGGCGGATTGAATATCAACGTGTCAATGATGTTCAGCCGTATCGCCGATGTTAGATCCATTTGTGACGAATCAACAAGATGAGCTTGGGTTGGACAGTTGTTTCGAACAGTTTGTAGGACGCTTTTGCACGCATTAGGATTCACATCTGTAGCTATATATATGCCATCTTTTAGTATATGTTGTAGTAGAAATGTGGTAAGTATTCCGGATCCAGTACCAATTTCAGTGATGATTGGCACCTTGTTCTTCTTGAATTTGGTCTCGAGATAATCCCTCTCTTGCTCGAAACAGTCTAGTAAGTAGAACGAATCCTCAGATGGTTCATAGACCTTGTCATAATCTATATCCTTGGTAATTGGAGTTGATAGCATCAGGTACAATCAACTGAATAGATCGATGGGCTTCCTCCCAATAGTCGCCTAAAAATCAGGGAAAGAAAAAAAAGAAAAAAATATGTGTGAACCTGGAACCAAAAGTGCCACATTTCTTACTCATCTATCAGTACACACACATTGAATAACTCCCCCCCTCCCCCCTCAATGAAAGTGAAAGTGAAAACATTAACAGGCAGGGATATACCGGTTGATGTGGAGCCTCAAGACAAGATAATAAGAATCAAGGAAATGATGGAGGAAAAAGAGGGTATATCTCCAGCACAACAACGATTAATCTTCAACGGTTCACAATTAGATGATGACAAAACTATACAGGATTCCGGGATAAATGCAGGAGCTTCTTTACATTTGGTATTGACCTTAAGAGGCGGGAATTAGAATCAGGAAGAGCGGAAGGAATAATAGGGGGTAGAAAACATACATAAATACGTACTCCATCAATGAATATGTGTTTGTTCTTATTTTTTTTTTTAAAAAAAAGTAATTTATTGCTTGCTTTGGGCCCATTTTCTAGCATTCTCTAAAAACTTGTTAACAGAGGGTTTTGGCTGGGACAGAGGTTCTGGATCAGTATCATTCGGAAATTCCCACTCGTAATACTCTTCTTCAATTCCGTCCACTGTGCGCCTCTTTTTCACCCGTTTTGGTAATTTCTGCAGCACGGCAGCTACACTTTGCTCATTTCCATTGACCAACTCGTACTGATTCCAAGCTTCTAACACAGTCTTTCTTCCCTCGATGTCATTCACCTTTTTAAAATAAGTTACCGCTTCGTCAAATACAGCCCTGGTATTTTCAGTCTGTTCATCACCCACCTCAACTTCCAACATAGTATCATTAGACAGTAAAAAGCGCTCCAATTGCTCAGCTGTTGGTATCGTGGATTCAAATAATGCAAATGATATCCAGTTGTCTGTAGTAGGTTTTCCAGACACCAAATCTCTATACAATTTCCGTATCTCACCATAGTTCATTTCTTCAGCATAGAATGACACGGCCAAGCTAAACATTTCATTTTGGTCAAAAGATTGCGCGATTACTTCGTTCTTTGCCATTCCAGTTACAATTTGAAGCAATGACTCACATCTGGCTGTTTCACCAAGAAACTTCTCGAATTCCAAATACTCCTTCACAATCTCATTACAGGGCTGTCCGAACACCAAAGCAAATTCAAGCCATTTCTGAAATAACTGACGCACTCGGTCCCATTCACCAAGTTTCCTTTCTGTGGCTATATAATGCTTCAAAATGTTCCTTTTAGGTCCAATGTAGTTCATTTGCCCCAATGCTCTCCCCATCACTTTGCGAAAAATTGTCAATCCATCTTCAGGATTGTTTCTTAGTTCAAACTCAGCTAGCCCTATCCACACTTTGCCAGCAGTGAAGTTCTTGTGTGGAATAACTGCCAAACACTCATTCCACACTTTTCGAGCTGCATCTATATCTCCATTGTCAAATTCTTCCCAAAATGCAAACCGTATCCAAAGCATGATAAACTGTTTCCACTTGTCACTTTTGTATGCATCTTGCGGTGTGTTGAGACATGCACTTTCAAAAGCTTTCCGTATCTGAGTCATATCACGACTATGCTCAATAATGTCAATATAAGACCACCATGAGTCGAAGTTTGTCCCATCGTCTTCCACATCCTGCTTATACTTGAGCTTCCTTGTCAAGAGTATACTCTCTTCTATCGGGATTTTGTTCCCAACTAGTTTCTCAGTTTCGCTAATTGCATTGTATAATGCATATCGCAAGCTTGTGGCAAATCCAAACTTCGATTCGTCTGTCAACAACTTTCTTATCCCCATCACTCGATCGTATTCTATGCACTCCACCTCCCAAATCAACCACTCTGCCACTATTTCAGGAAGAGTTTCATCGATTTTTTCCACCAATGAATCCACAGCGGACTCAAATACCGCTCGTATATGTTCGACATCTTTTCTATTGTGATGTAATTCATAATTCACCCATTTGAGCCATACCGTGCCACTTGGATACTCAAGTAAATATCGCTGGAAAAGATTTCTCACATTTCCAACTTCATCATACCTAGATTCAAAGTGAATATATGCATCCCAGGCACTTTGGTCGGGGTGCCAAGTTAGCCACCGCTCAAAAATCTGTCTCACCATTGAGTAGTTTTTCAACATCTCCTCCGTTTGCACATACAAGAACCATAGCTTGTTAACTTTGGGCAAGACGGAAGTGGCTCTCTCCAACAAGTTACGTGCATGGTTAACGTTTTTATGTATCAACTCAAATTGGATATACTGAGTCCAAAATGGCACATGTTCAATATTCACGTCGAGTGCTCTTTCCATAATCGATCTTGCTCTTGCAAAGTCGTGATTATGGTCAAGTTCCCATCTCGCATACCGTAGCCATTGTCCATTATTTAGTCTATTCTTATTCAATTGTTGTTCAAATTCCTTCCGCTTTGTTTGTTGATAGAGGTGTAGCTCCTCCAAGTCTTGGATAGTCTGTTTGGGTCGCGCAAGTTTGGTAGTAGTGTCCTCAAATATGAGCTGGCGATTAGATTCCATCCTTGTTGGTGACGTAGTGTGTACGATTGTGTGTAGTCGCGATGTGCTCTTCTCGTTTTCGCGAAAGAGATTTTAAAGAGAGGGGGGGGTGGGGGTACCATTTCGCAACCAGTAGGATTACAAGTTGTTATAGAGAATTTTTAGCTAAGCCTAATGGAGTTTGTCAGAGACATAGTAAGATAGGCTACAGTACTAATGATGCAACTGATGTATTGCTGAGGACTGCTTTTTAAATGAAGATCAAGCAAGCACACGTAGTTTTCTGGCACGGAAATGAAACACACCACCAGGAGGAGCAACATGCACCATTCTAAAATAAATTGCTTCATAATAAACCGAGTCTTACAGCCAAATACTAGGACTCTCCATACCACTACAAGTCTCAAGACCATTTAAAAATTGCGATTTCTTTATTCATCCTCGAATCTATGTACTAAAACACCCCTCAGTACTGTCCAACCACTCATGCACGTCCCAATTCCTTCCAACTGATTCCATACAGTGCTGCTTCACATTAATCCTTCTTTATCAAGTTCAAATTCTCATAAACTTGATTCTCCTTCTTGTACAACTCATTAGCAGTGACACCCTTCCCACTCTTTGCATTCTCGTCAAGTTGATCCAACAACGTTCTTACTTTCTCCCTTTCCTTCAATCCATGTAAGCATTCATTATAATCTTCAAATTTAGGTAAACATTGTTTTTTCGATTTGGTGTCGGCTGATGTATGACACTCTACCAATAATTGGAATTCGTAAAAACATCTCCTCGTTCCTCCAAATCGTGAATATGGTTGCATTGTCGTAAAGTGGTATGTGGAATGTTCTGAGCTTCCTTCCCCCCTTTTTTTTTCTGCGTATGCTAGATGTAGAGATACTAGTTTGCTAGGTGGAAGATGTTTCTTGACGCTTAGCATTTTCATTTTTATTTTTTTTCATTGGTTAGAATACTCGATTTCTGACGCCACGCGCACGACCTACTTTGGCAGTCACCTATGGAAGGCACAGGTTTATTCGAGCATGTCTTGTGAGATTCTTCCGTGATGTCATCCGAGCTCTAGCAGCTGGCACATCCCTACACTTATTACAGGTTGTATAACGCTAGAAAAAACATCGTTGAAGATCTACTTTTAAAAGATTCTATAAAAAATACAAAAATGAGTAAAACAAACGCTTCAAACAAGCTATCGTTTTGGCATCCAACGTCTTTCAGACAAAGGAAGTAATTCTGTTATGAAGACACCCCAAAGCGAACTGATTGAAGACTCTTTTTTAAAATGGTTAATGGAAATGTGTGTACGTTATCAAAAAGCAATTGTTGAAATGAAAATTTTGAAGCTTCTTTTATGTAAAATGCAAATGTTGAATTAAAGCATGATGTTTCATGGGTGTGGTGCGTGTAAAATAGTTTTAAAAATTCGTTGAAAATTTCGTTAAATATGGTGGATTGATGTGAATAGTAAGTTGTTTTGGATGAATGAAAGGCCACATGATGAGAAAAAGACACTGATGTTGAAAGTTACCCTTTTCTTCTGTAGAAAACAACACCGACCTTGTTGAAGCGTCGGATCCTGTTTCCTAATTCACGTGTTTGTAATGGATAGTTGTGGCAAGGTTATAATAGATGAATTCGATGCTAGGCTGTGTGGTGTGCCACACACCTTCCCCCACTCTCCCTCTATGACAATTCAGGCAAGTTTAAATCATAAATCAAGTTGAACAAGGTGGAGTTCGAATCAATGAAATCGTTATTGACCAAATTGCACAAGACAAAGTCATGCCCAACGGTATTCATCAATTGACTAAAGTTTTTCAATTTGGTGTCATCACCAATATCCACCAAGTTTGAACTCAAGACATTATTCCATTCAGAAAATAAGCGATACACCTCATCTTTCCAAGCCAAGAACGAAGTTTGTTCTACAATGGTTGGCTGTAAGATTTCCTCTCCTGGGAAAACACCCCACGTGACAGCATTGATATCATCAGGTTTACAATTGGATTGCAATCTTCCTGACAAATCAACAGCATAGTAGGAAATAACGGCACTTGTAGCATCACCTTGAGATTTATTGAATTGTTGGATATGGCTCAACAATTTCTCAATTACATCTCTATGCCCAATGAATTCCAAGTACTGCTTTTGATAAACATATCCATTTTTGGGCCCCCATCCAAACACCTTTTCCGACGACTTGACCGAGTTCAATGCAGGCTGTGAGTTCATGGTCAATAATCCGCGTTTGTTCAAATTGATCAAATCGTCAATAATCACCTTGGTATCTTCACCAACAGCCCCATCAGACCATGGCAAGGATTTCAAGTCTCCAGACAAGTACGACACCACCAAATCACTCAATTGTTTCAAGTTTTGTGGAACACCCCATAACTCCAATGCCCTCTTTGGTGATTGCCTCAATAACTCTGATGCACAAAGATCAATGTCACCAAATGCAGGTGAACGAGAATCACCCCATCTACCGTTGGGGAACTCATCCCAAGTTGCCGTTCTTGAAATATACGAGTATTTTCTATTTTGCCAGAAAATAGGACGGATGGACTCTTTGGATCTTTCAGGATGTAATGATTTTCTCCAAGGTAATTCAGTACCACCAACAACTTCATGAGATTTGATGGCTTCAATGAGATTGAGTTTTTCTAAAGCCATGACTGTCGATTTCTCCAAATTCATGGTGTAGAAATGTAAATGGTTGACATAGCCCGAGTCAATAAGCTTTTTGCACATGTCACTAACCAATTCAGTTCCCTTTTCTCTAACCAAGTAGTCATCATCTTTGATAGGGTCCAAAGCGTCAAGGAAATGTTGCGGAATCTTGATTTGTGACCAGTTGGCTCTCCTTATAAACGCAGCATAAGTTGAGATTGGCATGATACCAGGAATAATTGGAATTTCGATACCAATCTTGCGTAATTTACCACACCATGAGATAAAATTATCAACGTCGTAAAACATTTGGGTGATGATGAAATCGGCGCCTTCATCACATTTTTCTTTCAAGTAATACAAGGTCTTTTCTTCATCCTCCTCCTCAGGTTGTCCTTCGGGGTAAGCAGCAACACCAATATTGAAGTGGTTACCATACTTTTTACGAATATATCTCACCAAATCTTTTGCATACTTGAAATCACCAGTTGACTCACTTCCATCCAATGGCGGATCTCCTCTCAACGCCAATATATTTTGACATCCTGACTTGTAAGCCTTGTCCAAAGCCTCATCAATCAACTCTACCTTCATGTTGGTGCATGTCAAATGCATACAAGTTTCCAAACCCAAGGTGCTTTGAGCGGTGTACACCATCTCATTAGTCAATGTTGATGATCTGCCTCCAGCGTTCCAAGTTATATCGATGAATATAGGGTTCAAGTCATACATTCTATCCATTCTGTCGTACAAGTTTTGTACACCTTGTGACGTCTTGGGGACGAAAAACTCAAATGAAAAAGTCGCTGGTGGTGGGTTGGATATACCGACATGTGCCTGATTTAGCTTGTCCGTGATCTTCATATCGAACTAGATGCTTTATGACTGATTTTGGAGTGTAAGTTAAAAGGACCGTGTTCGTTTTGAAGTTAGTGTTGAGTGAAACTAATGAAGCATCGTTTTAATTGAAAATTTTTGAACAGATTTAGATTAAAAAATTATTGTGAGAATGACGCACACAAAAGGGGGGTTGAAAATTGCGAGCACGTTGATTCCTAACAAAATTGCCGCCATCGGGACAGATTCCACATGCTTAGGAGAAGGAGAAACAGATTTCCAAGTACTACAGACTAGATCTATACGATAACATGAATAACTGGCATGGAAACGACATTGCTACTCTTGTTGAGACCAAATACTTCGTGGACGGTTCATAGTGGTTAATGTCCGCTTACCGCATTTCCACATTTGGACAAAGTTTGACTCAATAAACAAAAATTAGAAAAAAAAAAAAAAACAAAAAATAAAAAAAAGCAGAAAAATTCTTCACCTCCTTCAAGCCTAATACAAAAAATTCACGTGCTGACTTCGATATCCTAATAAGTTAGATGGATCATAGAATGTGCTACACTTTCCCCTCTCCCAGTGGTATAAGACACCCAACCCAGCGTAATTATCCTTCTATATTCCTCATAATTCAATATCGTCAATGTGAATCTTGTAATCACGGGGTATGATGCAAGAGAAGGTGTCATCTGCCACCAAACACAAACGCACAAAAGCAGAAGCACTTCAAGTATAATTTTATCTTTGTTTTTATAACCCAATGCAATTTTCAACCTCCCTTCCCCCACGTTTTATCTATTCCCCTCAATTATTTTGTCTAGTCTTTTCACAAAGGACCTAAATTGAGCCAGCTGACACTGCTTACTTATGAGTGCATTCAATTCAGTGTCAGTCAAGGACGCGAAATCTTTCAAGTCATTTATAGCTATCGATGGAATGGAGTCGGTTGCGGTCACATAATTATTGGACATTTCGCTCAATTTCTGAGAATTTTGAGTTGGTAACAGTTCTGTAAAGACTGGTACACTAGTTGGTTTGAGCGTCTGACTCAGTTGAGGAACTGCATAGACTTGGAGAGGAGGAGGAGCAAACTGGGGTTGTGTCGAAGCCTGGTATTCCTGACTTTGTTGAGACTGGTGCTGTTGGTGGGAAGAATTTTGTTGCCAGCTTGAAAGGGGCTGTTGAAAATGCAGCTGTTGCAAGGGCACTTGACTCTGTGGTTGTTGTAGTGGCAATTGGGAATAAGAAGCCATGGACTGAACAGCTTTCTGTGTGGGCTGCACTGGTTGAGAAGAGTAGTAATCATTAATGTTGGAAGGAAGGTGCATACAAATTGGAGTTCCCAAAAATTGAGTTGCTTGTTGTTGTTGTTGTTGTTGTTGCAAATGCGTTTGCTGCTCTTGTGAAAGTTGTGACGTTTCTGACTTTAACAAATGAAGCTTTTCTTGGATGCTTTGCTGTTGCTGCGGGTTATGGGTTTGAGCAACATCTATAGACCCAGCTGTCACAAGTTGCAGCAGGAATGAAGTACTATAGGAAGTTTCACCAGCCTGAGTGTTTCTTCCAATTTGACTAGATACATTATCTATGCACTCAATTTCTTCCCTAGTTTGACTTGCATTGGTGGACCAACTCTTGGAACACCTGGCATCAGTGTTAACCATGTTCATATTCTTGAACGGGCATTTCTTCAAAAATGAGTGACACTTTTCAAACTCAGCTTCATCAACAAGACTTATTTGAAACCTAAATAGTAAATTGCCATTACTCAAAATACATTGTTTGATGCCAACGTTTGTACTCTTTACCAAAATAGATGTTTTCACTTTGCCATTCATAAACAAAGTGTATTTGTCTAAAGTTGAACCCTTCCACAGCACAATCACCTCTATGTCGGTGTTGTCGTCGTTGTGTGCTGCTTCGATAAAAGTTATCGATAAGTCTGTGCGGTGGGGATGATGGCTCCAGACATTGTGATTAAATTTTGAAAACTTTCTTAAGTTAAAGTTGTGAATAACTGGTGTAATACTGGGTGGCATGCTGTGGGTGTGTGGGTGGCATATAGATATGGTTGTCACTTTCCTCACGATTTGCAACCAAAGTGTGAGACTTCTTCAACAATATTGAAGAGAGTTGAAAAAGAATTAGTAAAATGTATCAAAGAAAAAGCTACCAACATTACAATGAGTTAAGAGAACTTTATGATGTTATGATCGAAATAAAAACAGAAGCTGTTGAAGCATAGTGGTGGCTTTACGCTATTCTGTCCTTTACACACAGCTACTGCACTACTGTATAAGTTTGGACTATAGTATGCTAGTGATGGTTATTACGAAAGAGCTCAAAAATCTAGTGGCAGGGGGGGAGGTCTCCGCTCTCCGCCGCTTAAAGACCTTGCCAAACACAAACAAAGATACAAAAACCCCTAACAGAAAAGAGTGAAACGATATGCTCTCTGTTTTGTGTAAGTCTTTGTTGCTAAAAATACATCATACTACAAGCAGATCAAATCTATTTTCTTGTTAGACAAAATTGATTAATGGACAGATGATTTCAGTGTATAAGATTAGCAAATAACGTGACTTTCTTGATGAAATAAACAGGATTGACGCATGGACACGCGCATCCTCAAGCTTTGGAATCCTGGCCTCATGAAAGGGGGACAAGAGCGGAAATGGTGTGGGGACAAGGTTTGAATGATGAATGCATCTAGCAAAAATAAAAAAAGGCGCAGCGAAGGTAAACCCTTNAAGAGCGGAAATGGTGTGGGGACAAGGTTTGAATGATGAATGCATCTAGCAAAAAAAAAAAAAAGGCGCAGCGAAGGTAAACCCTTTCTGTATCAAATCAGTTTCAGTCTGTTAGTCAATCTGAGATTTCGGCTATAATTTACACTTCGGACCTAAGAATAAAATTGTCAACTTTGTAACGAAAAAAAAAAAAAAAGAAAAACAGAAATCAAGAGGCACAGAATAATAGACTAAAACCTACATTTGTGGTCATGATTTAAAATCTATCCACGTAAATCGGCTTGGCCTCGTGTGTAAAGTGATGCTTGTTTTCAATTTTTGTAAGCATCAGAAATGCCAATATTTCTTAACTATACTGAGCTTAGTCAGTAAGTGGTCATGAGAATTCCCAAATGCTAAGAAATCGGTAAAAGTGGCAAAGTCAAAAAAGAGAAAATAATAAATAGAAGACAACAAGCCTAGTATGACGTATTGTTTCCAACAGGAGCAACGCATAAGGAGCCAATATTTCAGAATCTCGATGTCCAAACTCTTCAAGCATAGTCCCCAATCAATGAATACGATCTTCCTGTTAGAGAGAGAGAGATGGATCTGTTATCTGTTAAAGAAGAGTAATAATGATTTTGTGTGTCGTAGGATT